CCCGCTCCCTCCCCGTGGGCTCCAGTCTGAGCCAAGCTGTGCTCCTCCATCCCCCACCGCGAGGCCCCTGAGGTCTCTCCATGAGGTCCCTCTCTTCCTTCCCACCACCGCCAGCCTCTGGGCGCCCAAGGGGCTCTGCTGTTCTCTTCCCAACACGCGTCCCCAGGAGCTCCCATGACACTGGCTCCCATCGCACTGAAGGTGCTGTTTTCTGGGAGGACCCAGCTGGACACAGCCAGGGGCAAGGAGACCTCAAGTCCCACATCAGCACGGGTAGACGCGCAGTGGCACCTGCAGGGTACTTTGGGACCCACTCTAAGCCCTTGTCCCACCCCATGGCGGTAGAGAGCTGGGGCTGATTGTCAGCGTCTGCCCTGGGCGGGCCTGGGGGGGAGGCGCAAGGCCTGTTTGCCACGCTCCGGTCACGTGGACAAAGTGACTCCACCCAGCTCACTCAGGCCTGGCCTGATGGCCAAAGAGCCAGAGCATGAMGAAAAGGGTCTGTGAGCACTTCACCAGGTGGCCTGAGGGCTGGCGCTCCTCAGGCCTGGGRCCATTAGGACTTCATTAGAGTGTCCTTTGGCAGCAGGTTGATTAGGTCCCAGGTTGATTAAACTTCCAAATGCTTTGTACACCTGTGGCAAAGCCGATAGCTCCCAATCCWAAATTGTAGAGTAGATGTTTCTTAAGAAAATCACACAGAAAACAGCCTCCCCCAGCACGTTGGCTCTCGCCTCTCCTTATCTGTAGTTGCTGACCTCGGATGGCCTCATGCTCCTTGCTGGACGGTGCTGATGGCCACTAGGGCTTCCCATGCACACCAGCTTGACTGACTGGTAGTCGGAGCTGTCTGCAGTATCAGAGAGGATCCTAAGCTATGTCTGGATCCAGCAGGGAAGCGTGCTGTGATCGACTAGTGATGTCTGCCCTGGGCGTGGCAATGGTCAGGGGGCACCTGTGCGCAGTGTCTGCTATTTCCAGGCTGGTGTTTCTCCCGCCACAAGGAAGTGAGAAGCTGGTCGGACTTTGGCTGGAAGGCTGCCCTGGCTGCTTTTAGGATTTGGGTTTCCAGGGAAGATCTGATGTTTTCATTTGTACTGACATGGTAGCCACTAGCCCATGAGAGACTAGTTATGTTTATATTAATTTAAATTAGATTCAAGAATCAGCTTCTCTGCTGTGTGAGCCACATTTCAAGTTTCCAATAGCCAATTAGGATGAGTGGATACCGTGTTAGCACAGGCACAGAGGTTTCTAGAAAATGCTATTGGGCAGAACTGGACTGGACCAGTGGTTTTCACCAAGTGGATTGTGCCAGTGGACATCTGGCAGTCCCCAGAGACATTCCTGGTTGTCCCAAGTGGACAGAAGTGTTTGGCCCCTCATGGGTCAAGACCCAGGATGCCTCTGAACACCCTGTACACAGACACGGCCCCAGAGAACGCATCCAGCCCCAAATCCCTCTGGTGCCAAGGTGCTCTAGAGTGGTCTTGTCCAGGGCAGGGGAGCATTATGGGAAAGGGGACAACATCATCTTTGCTTTGAGTGACAAATGAGTGTGACATAGAAAGACGTGAGAAAAAGCGAGTCACTGTGAACAGAAAAGAGGAAAAGCAAGCCGTAGCCCCCTCTGATCCTCTTCCTGCCCCGTACAGCAGGGCAGGACCCCCTTCTCCACGACCAGTGCACAGCGTGACCAGCTCTGCTCTCCTCCTCCGCAGCGACACTGTCCCTCCTTACCCTCGCCTGCGCCACTCCTAAGCGGATGGAAAGTTCCGTCCCAGCAGACACCTCTGAGTCCCACTTTCATTTCTTTCCACACAAACTCGGGTTCCTGAAGCCTCCAAATCCCACGTCCTGATCTGTAAAATGGGACTAAGGATCCACGGCGGAGCACGTGTGTCCGTCTCAGCAGCTGGCCCGGCTGGCTGTCCGCCATGGCGAGGACCCTCAGCCCCATCAGCACCCCAGGAGCAGCTGAGAGCGCTCGGGCATCATGGGTGGGAATAAACTCCTGAGAGTGAGACCTGCCCTGAGGTCCAAGGTCTGTGCTTGTGTCCTATGATTCATTTTTATTGCATCTGTTCAAACAAGAACTGAGATCGAATCCTTCCTTTCAAGTCTCGGAGCTTGGAAAAGCTTTTGGGGATGGAGATTGGGTCATTAGCTCTACCTTGGGGAGCCCCAGGCTGCTCCCTGAATGCCAGTCTCCAAGGCAGGGACTGGTCTAAGCGGTTACTACAAAGCTGTGTGTCCTTGAGCAAGTTGCCTTCCCTCTCTGTGTTTTGAATGAACCATGGGTAAACAGAGGGGGTTAAATTGGGCAGCACTCAGGAAGCCCTGGGCTTGTCTAAAACCTTCCACCATCTTTCAAAGCATTCGATGCCACTATTTCTAAATATGAGACACGTCATCACCACCGCAGCTAGCCATCCGCTTAAGGTGGGCCATGTCCTGTTCCCCTCCACCGAGGGCCAGGCCCCCCAGCACCCAGAGGGCTGTCTTGTAATGGCCGCGCAGAGACAGCCAGAGGCCTGGCTTGCGGCAGCTGGGGGCAGGGGGAGGGGGGTCTCTCTGGCTTGGAGACCTCTGCTCTCACCTTAGACGATGCGGGAAAGTGCCAGTGGCCTAATCAGATCCTTGAAGGACCCCACCCTGGTAATGTGTCCCCCACTCGTGACAAACTTGATGAGCCACGTGCCACGTACCAGGCAGCGAGTGGCCTCACACCAGGGGAAGGCTGCCCGTTTGGGTGGCACCAGAACCATCCACTGGGCACCTGGGCCCGCTCCCCACGATCAGTCAGTGGGGGGGAGGAGCCAGGAGCCCGGGATGTGGGCCCCCCAGGTGCGTCCAGTGTGGGAGTGGACGGCCCACGCGGGTTTGCACTTCCCTGGCGGGGGCTGGGAGGGAAACCAAGCTCTGAAGAGGCCAGGGATGTGCCCAAGGTCACGGTCAGCGAAGCCCAAGCCCTGCTACTCAAGGTGACCAGACCTGTGTGGGAGTGGACTTCACATCTGGTAATTAGTGACACAGGGTCCCTCCAAAGCAGGGGACCAGGAGACCCCACTCCTCCCCTTCCTTGTCCTCATCTTCCAGGAGTGTCCCCTCCCCCCACTCCCTCCCCTCTCCCCCCTCCTCTTCCCCCTCCTCTCCCCCCTCCTCTCCCCCCTCCTCTCCCCCCTCCTCTCCCCCCTCC